ATGCATATATATATATATATATTATATATAATATATATACGGAAAACTAGATATAGGGTCATTTTCTGCACATGTCAATAGCAGTTTCAACTATTTTTTTTTGGAAATTAAAATATAATGCACTTGGCAATATGACTAATAATAATAATATTATGCATAATTGCATATAAACATTGTGAACACTTATTTTTCAAGTGACTTTTTTTACATTCATATGTTCCCCGCTGTGGTTTGGAAACTGCTTTTTGAATGTTAGTAGGCATTTTGTTATGGAAAATGTTGTGCATAATCAGTACTGTTTGAAGCTTGTTACTCTTCCAACACACTTTTAATAGATTGAGTTTTTTTAAATATGGGAGTTGTGTTGTTCATATTTTACCAACACCACAGACTATTCCTAATACTTTTTTTTGGGATGTTATTATTTTTTGTAGATTTGTTGAGTACGTGTTTCCCCATATTTCAGAGCAGTATTAAAGGTAAGGGAGAAATAGACTGTTATAAAGAGTATTTTTCTTCAAGAATGTTCTTAGTATGATAAATAACTATTGTTTTTGACAGTTTAGTCTGTACATAATTTATATGCTGCCTCCAATTGAGTTTTTCGTCAACAATGAGTCCTAAAAATGTACATGCACCAACTTTTTCTATCTCGGTATTGCAAATCCGTATAATGCAGTCATTCCTACTCTCAGACTTTGTATTGAATAACATGTCATTTGTTTTGGCCACATTAAGGGATCATTTATTAACTGCAAACCAGTTAGGCCTACATAGTATTTTTAATTCTGCATTCACAATTTTAACAAGATCGCCAAGATTATGATGGGAGCAGAGAATTCAAAGTTCAGGTTCAGCCTCAATATATTTGGGGAGAATTAAAATGAGCCGTCTTTATTTGTAGACAGCCAAGCCCCCTCCTGTGAGTGTCCGGTGAAGCATTATATGCTTACAAATCCAATGTAGGATATAAACACGACTAAACTGCAATGATAGCAAAGCTGGGGCTTGGGTTTTTGGGGTAATAAAGTCCAAATCATCGTTGGGCTGACAGCTGAGAAAATGCTGCATCTCTTGCATTTATTGACATAGAGGAGCCTTATTGTTTACCTTTTTAATATCATTTTTTGTAATTTTCAATTGCTTGGTTTTCGTGAAATTAGCCTGTTTTCCTATTAAAGTGTAACAGATTGATGCATCTCCACAGATCAACTTAAAGGCTTCGGAATCCCCCCATTGTAGTTAAAAAAACTGTCAAAACTAGGGCCCCCAAACAGCATCTTGGAAAGGGCCCCCAAAAAGCTAGAAACGGCCCTGAATGCACGTTTTGTTCAGCCGGATAATATCCACATGTCTACCCTACTTTTATCATTTTCGAATCATAAATCTAATCGATAGAAGATAGATAGCGTCGCTGCACCACTCTCACCGCCGTTAGAATGTAGCAAGCAACTGAAGCAAGTGCAATTAATATGGAGGGTGGAGATGTGGAGGATTTCATCAAAAATAATTGTACTAAACTTCCGCTACAGCAGCAACAACAAATACAATCTGATGACAGGCCGATGCCCAAACTGGAGCTGTGTACAGAGAGGAACAAAGGAGCGAGTCGGACGTAAAACGTTAAAGGTCTCCTGATTTAGTTTGTGAATGAATGCTTATTAGAGTTTGGGCTGGAGAGCGCGTGCGGACCTGTCGGTTAGATAACAGGGGTGTGTAAGTCCTGCATCTGATACAAATGTGTGTAAAATGATACCGGGTGCTGTAATCACTCATCTGGTTACGTTATTACATTGACCACCACACCCCCGACCCAAAAGAAAATACGTAATATTGGCTTCCCTTAATTTTTTTCCCCACGCCACGCTACTGCTCAGAGCCAGGAGAACGCACAATTTGGCACTTTTAGCTCTTAAAACAATATATTATTATATATATTACAACCAAAGAAGAGTTACCCTATAATCAAAAAGAGATAAGTCGTTCTTCTCGTATCAGAAGCTAAGATGTGGGTTTGAATCACCCACTGCTTCTTTAAGTATTACGGTAATTAATACAGGGCCAATCAGAGCGCAGACTGAGGCAAAATGAACGCCCCCTTTACCTCACTCTGCGCTCTGATTGGCCCTCATAGCAGACAGTTTGGTTTCTATTTTCAGATATCGTAGTAACCGTCACAGTCAGGATTGGGAGCATTTAACTGAGGCACAACACATTATTAGTCAATTAAAAACGGGTCTTATTTCATGTAAGAGATTATAAGAAGAGTTATTTATCTTTAGTTGCTTGTAACACGTATTTTAGCACCAGGAAAAGCGCTATAAAATCATTGTTATTAGTAATAACCCGTTGCTACTCTGAGTATTACGGTATTTCTACCACGCCCCCTTTTGCCTCACTCTCCGCGTTGATTGGTCGTCACTGTAGTCACGTGTCCAGGGAACAGCGGAAGAAGAGGCCGCAGAAAATAGGTGAGGAAATAAACAAAAATAAAAACAGTGATTTTAACAACAAAGCCTTTAAATGTGTTTGAGTCATCGGTACCGTTCTGTATGTGGAAGTGTTAGCTAACGGACTCTGTGTTCCGTTAAGGTTAGGAGGATTTTAATGTTGAGAAATGATCGTGTTTCGGTTTCGCGGGTGGAAAATAAATCGGAAATAACAACATTGAAAACCAAAAACCACAAACAGTTGATTTCTACACCTTTAATTATAATCTATGGTTACTTGTAAATATATGAGTATGAGTTCCATGCTCTTCTGAGAAATCTGATGTTCAAATTCATCTGTCGATTGAATGTTTCTCAACTCTGTCATTATGCTGCTGTCAAACCCGTGTTTCTGTCCGATACCAGAACACCTCCGACACACCTCACCTCGGGACACATTGGTGTCACTGCCTTTTTTATTTATATTTGAGTGTTGTGTGTTTTGTAATAATGGACCAAGTCTCTTTAAATAAAGATGATGAAGATGATGATGATGATGATATGAGTTTACCAGCTGCTTGCTTTGTTTATCGATCATTTCACGTGTTTAGTGTCAGTAAAGATGGCGGGTTGTCCGACAGCAGGTAAACAATTAAACAAATATGTTTTAAAACAATAAAAACCTTAATAATCATCGTCACGTTCATGAACGGGAGTTTCCCACCCGCTGACGTCACCATTGCGTAATGACGTAGGGTAACGTCACGTGGAGAACTTTGTTTGTTTTTATTTATGAATTAACAAAACCATTATTATATTCTTCTTATGTTTATATTAATATGTTTATTTCACATTCTTACTTTTGTGTTTTATGTAATTCATTATTTAATTAATTATTACTTGTTTTTACGTCACTCTTAAACTTTAATTTAGGGTTTTCTTATTGTATTTATTTTGAATGTATTCTTTGTATGTATGCACGCGATCAGTGGTTAGTATCTTAGTTCATAGCTAAGTACATTTTGCTTTAACATATTTATCCTCCTGGGACCAGTAGCGTGGCGTGGGGAAAAATGTAGGGGAAGCCCATTTTTTGGGTCGGGGGTGGTCAATAACGTAACCAGATGAGTGATTACAGCGCCCGGTATCATTTTACACACATTTGTATCACACAGATGCAGGACTTGCACGCACGCACTCTCCAGCTGAAACTCTCTCCTTATTAATTTAAGCATTTTACTTATTAATGTATGCAGACAATCACACAATCTATGTGATTTTTTGATTTACCGTGCCTCTCAATTGCCCGTGACAGGTTGGCAAGGTCGATGGATCCTGAAGTTGCCCAAGGATTGTTCAGGGAGCACGAATCCTTGTCAAAAGAAGACATGGCCAGAAAATTAGACGCTGAAGTTTAGCGCTTCCAGTTAGCCACTCCGTGCGGACATAATTATCCTCATTGAACGTCCGATTATCTCCCTTTTTCCTCTGTGTACACACAGCACGAGTGCGGGCATTGGCCTGTCATCTGATTTAATTGTTAGTTGCTGCTGTAGCGGAAGTTTAGTAAAGTTATGTTTGATTAAGTACGCCAAATCTCCACCCTCCATAATGCTTCATTTGCTTGATCATTTCTAACGGCGGTGATGACAGTTACAGTATTAAAACTGATGTTGATGTGATTTGATTGGATGGCAGTGTCCAATCAAATCGCCAGCCGCCTCTGAAGGGAAGCAAGAGGCGGCTAGCTTCCCTTGGCATGGCCCTGACCAATCACAGGTTGGCAGGGGCATGACGTGAGCCTTGTCTGATTGGTCAATCCCTCCATTTTTTTTCACCAAGGGAAGCTAGATTCGGCTTGCCTCCTCTCGCAACAGTGAGTGCAATCTACTGTTTCACCATAACATCTAGAGGGGCGCTGTTTGTTTCACTCTTTGTAAAATACTCAATGAGAATGGGGGAGAGCCGGGCCGGCAGCAACACACAGCAAAGGAGAATTATCGAAACAAAACAAAGTGTTTTTATTTATTTATTTAAATTATAACTACAATCCGAAAAAACAGGGGAAGCCTGGCTTCCCTTGGCCTCCGGGAGAAAACGCCACTGCCTGGGACTCTTTTGAGCTACTCTATCAGTCCCTGGTGTTCAGAGGACATCTATCAGTCCCTGGTGTTCAGAGGACATCTATCAGTCCCTGATGTTCAGAGGACATCTATCAGTCCCTGATGTTCAGAGGACATCTATCAGTCCCTGGTGTTCAGAGGACATCTATCAGTTCCCTGGTGTTCAGAGGACATCTATTCAGTCCACTGGTGTACAGAGGACATTCTATCAGTCCCTGGTGTTCAGAGGACATCTATCAGTCCCTGGTGTTTCAGAGGACATCTATCAGTCCCTGGTGTTCAGAGGACATCTATCAGTCCCTGGTGTTCAGAGGACATCTATCAGTCCCTGGTGTTCAGAGGACATCTATCAGTCCCTGGTGTACAGAGGACATCTATCAGTCCCTGGTGTTCAGAGGACATCTATCAGTCCCTGGTGTTCAGAGGACATCTATCAGTCCCTGGTGTTCAGAGGACATCTATCAGTCCCTGGTGTTCAGAGGACATCTATCAGTCCCTGGTGTTCAGAGGACATCTATCAGTCCCTGGTGTTCAGAGGACATCTATCAGTCCCTGGTGTTCAGAGGACATCTATCAGTCCCTGATGTTCAGAGGACATCTATCAGTCCCTGATGTTCAGAGGACATCTATCAGTCCCTGGTGTTCAGAGGACATCTATCAGTCCCTGATGTTCAGAGGACATCTATCAGTCCCTGATGTTCAGAGGACATCTATCAGTCCCTGGTAGGGGTGTAACGGTACACGTACCCGTACCGAAATTATTCGGTACGGGCCCTTCGGTTCGGTACAGGTGTGTACCGAAGTGTACCGAACGAATATAACGTTAAACGTAAAAAATTGAGAACGTGAATAACTTTTTGGAAGTAATCTCAGGTGCTGCGTCGCAGCATTCAGAGTAATTTTCTCACATTGGGTTCAACGCGTCATAGAGCGAGCAAGTCATTTAATTGGATGAGAGGCATACTATGAGAGCTGGTCAGAGGGATGCGTTCAAATGTAGTCAGTAATTTGAGGAACTGTCAAAAATGTATGGCGAACGCAGATAAAGTTGAGCTCGAAAATCCTCCAGCATCATTGAAGTCTCCGGTTTGGGAACATTTTGGTTTTGCAGTTACGTACAAGGATGACGGACAAAGACAGGTGGACCGAACCAAAGCTGTTTGTCGGCATTGTTCAACTAAAATTGGTTACGCGGCTGGCAATACATCAAACTTGCACACTCTTTTGAAAAGGCATCACCCCGAACGTGAATATCACCGGTACCAAAAGAAAAAAGACTGAAGTGCAAACCCAACTCCAGCTAGCATTTAAGCCTCCACTTCTTCAGACCGAGCCAAAGCTATTACAAACGCCAACTATCCTTATGTTGCAATGTTAGCAAAGCGCTACCTGGCTGTATCTGCTACCTCTGTCCCTAGCGAGAGGGTGTTCTCCACAGCAGGAGACATTGTTAGTGCCAGCAGATCTGCCCTTTCGGCAAGCAATGTGGACAAGTTCATTTTTCTTTAAAAAACATGAAAATACAATGACAAGCAAGTCCTAATGTCAAACTGGCTGCTTAGGTGCTAGTACAGTACAGTTCAAATACAGATTATTTCAGTTCATCGAAATGCTGCACCTTAATGTTCATTTTATTATATTTTGTATTTATTTGAGTGAATACATTATTCACAGTTTAATAATAATAATAAAAAAATATATATATATGTTTTGTTTTGTGAAAAAAAATTCTGCTGTACCGAAAACGTACCGAACCGAACCGTGACCAAAAAATCGAGGTACGTACCGAACCGAAATGTTTGTGAACCGTTACACCCCTAGTCCCTGGTGTTCAGAGGACATCTATCAGTCCCTGATGTTCAGAGGACATCTATCAGTCCCTGGTGTTCAGAGGACATCTATCAGTCCCTGGTGTTCAGAGGACATCTATCAGTCCCTGGTGTTCAGAGGACATCTATCAGTCCCTGGTGTTCAGAGGACATCTATCAGTCCCTGGTGTTCAGAGGACATCTATCAGTCCCTGGTGTACAGAGGACATCTATCAGTCCCTGGTGTTCAGAGGACATCTATCAGTCCCTGTTGTACAGAGGACATCTATCAGTCCCTGGTGTTCAGAGGACATCTATCAGTCCCTGGTGTTCAGAGGACATCTATCAGTCCCTGGTGTTCAGAGGACATCTATCAGTCCCTGGTGTACAGAGGACATCTATCAGTCCCTGGTGTTCAGAGGACATCTATCAGTCCCTGGTGTACAGAGGACATCTATCAGTCCCTGGTGTTCAGAGGACATCTATCAGTCCCTGATGTACTAAGGACATCTATCAGTCCCTGATGTTCAGAGGACATCTATCAGTCCCTGGTGTTCAGAGGACATCTATCAGTCCCTGGTGTTCAGAGGACATCTATCAGTCCCTGATGTACTAAGGACATCTATCAGTCCCTGATGTTCAGAGGACATCTATCAGTCCCTGGTGTACAGAGGACATCTATCAGTCCCTGGTGTTCAGAGGACATCTATCAGTCCATGGTGTTCAGAGGACATCTATCAGTCCCTGGTGTTCAGAGGACATCTATCAGTCCCTGATGTACTAAGGACATCTATCAGTCCCTGATGTTCAGAGGACATCTATCAGTCCCTGGTGTACAGAGGACATCTATCAGTCCCTGGTGTTCAGAGGACATCTATCAGTCCCTGATGTACTAAGGACATCTATCAGTCCCTGATGTTCAGAGGACATCTATCAGTCCCTGGTGTTCAGAGGACATCTATCAGTCCCTGATGTACAGAGGAAATCTATCAGTCCCTGGTGTTCAGAGGAAATCTATCAGTCCCTGGTGTACAGAGGACATCTATCAGTCCCTGGTGTTCAGAGGACATCTATCAGTCCATGGTGTTCAGAGGACATCTATCAGTCCCTGGTGTTCAGAGGACATCTATCAGTCCATGGTGTTCAGAGGACATCTATCAGTCCCTGGTGTTCAGAGGACATCTATCAGTCCCTGATGTACTAAGGACATCTATCAGTCCCTGATGTTCAGAGGACATCTATCAGTCCCTGGTGTTCAGAGGACATCTATCAGTCCCTGATGTACTAAGGACATCTATCAGTCCCTGATGTTCAGAGGACATCTATCAGTCCCTGGTGTACAGAGGACATCTATCAGTCCCTGCTGTTCAGAGGACATCTATCAGTCCCTGGTGTACAGAGGACATCTATCAGTCCCTGCTGTTCAGAGGACATCTATCAGTCCCTGATGTACTAAGGACATCTATCAGTCCCTGATGTTCAGAGGACATCTATCAGTCCCTGGTGTACAGAGGACATCTATCAGTCCCTGCTGTTCAGAGGACATCTATCAGTCCCTGATGTACTAAGGACATCTATCAGTCCCTGCTGTTCAGAGGACATCTATCAGTCCCTGGTGTACAGAGGACATCTATCAGTCCCTGATGTTCAGAGGACATCTATCAGTCCCTGATGTACTAAGGACATCTATCAGTCCCTGATGTTCAGAGGACATCTATCAGTCCATGGTGTACAGAGGACATCTATCAGTCCCTGCTGTTCAGAGGACATCTATCAGTCCCTGATGTTCAGAGGACATCTATCAGTCCATGGTGTTCAGAGGACATCTATCAGTCCCTGATGTTCAGAGGACATCTATCAGTCCCTGATGTACTAAGGACATCTATCAGTCCCCTGAGTTCAGAGGACATCTAATCAGTCCCTGATGTTCAGAGGAAATCTATCAGTCCCTGGTGTTCAGAGGAAATCTATCAGTCCCTGGTGTTCAGAGGACATCTATCAGTCCCTGGTGTTCAGAGGACATCTACAGTCCCTGGTGTTCAGAGGACATCATCAGTCCCTGGTGTACAGAGGAACCATCTATCAGTCCCTGATGTTCAGAGGACATCTATCAGTCCCTGGTGTACAGAGGACATCTATCAGTCCCTGATGTTCAGAGGACATCTATCAGTCCCTGGTGTTCAGAGGACATCTATCAGTCCCTGGTGTTCAGAGGACATCTATCAGTCCCTGGATGTACTAGAGGACATCTATCAGTCCCTGTGTTCAGAGGACATCTCTCAGTCCTGTGTCAGAGGACATCTATCAGTCCCTGGTGTTCAGAGGACATCTATCAGTCCCTGTGTTCAGAGGACATCTATCAGTCCCTGGTGTCAGAGGACATCTATCAGTCCCTGATGTTCAGAGGACATCTATCAGTCCTGGTGTTCAGAGGACATCTATCAGTCCCTGGTGTTCAGAGGACAATCTATCAGTCTCTGGTGTACAGAGGACATCTATCAGTCCATGGTGTCAGAGGACATCTATCAGTCCCTGGTGTTCAGAGGACATCTCTCAGTCCCTGGTGTACAGAGGACATCTATCAGTCCCTGGTGTACAGAGGACATCTATCAGTCCCTGGTGTACAGAGGACATCTATCAGTCCCTGGTGTACAGAGGACATCTATCAGTCCCTGGTGTACAGAGGACATCTATCAGTCCCTGGTGTTCAGAGGACATCTATCAGTCCCTGGTGTTCTGAGGACATCTATCAGTCCCTGGTGTTCAGAGGACATCTATCAGTCCCTGGTGTTCAGAGGACATCTATCAGTCCCTGGTGTACAGAGGACATCTATCAGTCCCTGGTGTACAGAGGACATCTATCAGTCCCTGGTGTACAGAGGACATCTATCAGTCCCTGGTGTACAGAGGACATCTATCAGTCCCTGGTGTTCAGAGGACATCTATCAGTCCCTGATGTTCAGAGGACATCTATCAGTCCATGGTGTTCAGAGGACATCTATCAGTCCCTGGTGTACAGAGGACATCTATCAGTCCCTGGTGTACAGAGGACATCTATCAGTCCCTGGTGTTCAGAGGACATCTATCAGTCCCTGGTGTACAGAGGACATCTATCAGTCCATGGTGTACAGAGGACATCTACCAGTCCCTGGTGTTCAGAGGACATCTATCAGTCCATGGTGTACAGAGGACATCTACCAGTCCCTGGTGTTCAGAGGACATCTATCAGTCCCTGGTGTTCAGAGGACATCCTGTGCTTTCCAGTGATATGTCATCACCAAAAACAAACACCCCTGGGATAGAAGAGGGTCAAGAAGAAGGTATCACTGCAAGGGGGAAGTCTTGCCATCATTTGACGCCCTTATTCAGCTCGGGACGCCCTGAACTCGAGCCGAGGGCGTCCAAAAATATTAATAATTCGAGAGAAGATCGAGAGTTTTTATGGCTTGAAATGAGGAAATGGAAAAAGGCCATCCCTCTGTTGGAGGGGCAATGGAGTCTGGTGGGATTCTTTTCGGAGTGTTGAAGATCGTTTCCCCGACATCAGCGGTGCCTGCTACGGGACAACACGGAACGTGAGCGATTTGGACGCGATGAGCGGGGGGGGTTTTAGTGGAGCGTGAGCTGCGAGTGCCGGAGCCTCGCAGCGGCGAAACTGAGGCTCCGTGGTGAACTGTGGTAACGTGAGGAGCCGTGAGAGAGCCGAGCCAAATGATGCGGCTCACTGACGTAAAGAGACAGTATCTATAAAGGACGGCTCAAGTCAAAATTCAATTATTGTTCTATATACATATTCCTATGTTTATAAATTAAATGAATGATTAATAAAGTATTCATATTTACATTTCCAGGATCCTTGCATCTGTCATCATGCAGAGCACCACTAACTATCTGTGGCTGATCTCAGACCTGCTGGGTCAGGGAGCCACAGCCAATGTTTACAGAGGAAGACACAAGGTGAGAGCCAATCAGAGAGCAGCAACGGCCCACAGCCAGTCAGAGAGCAGCAGCACGGCTCACAGCCAGTCAGAGAGCAGCAGCACGGCTCACAGCCAGTCAGAGAGCAGCAGCACGGCTCACAGCCAGTCAGAGAGCAGCAGCACGGCTCACAGCCAATCAGAGAGCAGCAACGGCCCACAGCCAATCAGAGAGGAGCAACACGGCTCACAGCCAATCAGAGAGCAGCAGCACGGCTCACAGCCAGTCAGAGAGCAGCAGCACGGCTCACAGCCAGTCAGAGAGCAGCAGCACGGCTCACAGCCAATCAGAGAGCAGCAGCACGGCTCACAGCCAGTCAGAGAGCAGCAGCACGGCTCACAGCCAGTCAGAGAGCAGCAGCACGGCTCACAGCCAGTCAGAGAGCAGCAGCACGGCTCACAGCCAGTCAGAGAGCAGCAGCACGGCTCACAGCCAGTCAGAGAGCAGCAGCACGGCTCACAGCCAGTCAGAGAGCAGCAGCACGGCTCACAGCCAGTCAGAGAGCAGCAGCACGGCTCACAGCCAGTCAGAGAGCAGCAGCACGGCTCACAGCCAATCAGAGAGCAGCAGCACGGCTCACAGCCAGTCAGAGAGCAGCAGCACGGCTCACAGCCAGTCAGAGAGCAGCAGCACGGCTATCACTATGCATTACTAGCAAAAAACTACAAAAGTCCCTGAGTCTCTGATTCTGATTTCAGGGTTCTTTAAAAATATATTTTTACACTACATATAATACACTTATATACATTTTAAGAGACACGCATCTGATCTGTAGACTGGAGGAACGTCTCGTCTGCAGCTCTGTAACCGGGAAGCAGATGATCTGAGCGGTGAACTGTTTACATAAAGACAGCTTCTCCAGCACTTCCTGTCAGATTCCCAGTTTGAGGTCAAAGTCTGTAGCGAGGGCAACATGTTATTACAGCGTAAAGGTACTGATGTTGTGTTTTATTACACGTTAGAAAACGGGCGACCTGTACGCAGTGAAGGTGTTCAACAACCTGAGCTTCCTGCGGCCGCTGGACGTCCAGATGAGAGAGTTCGAGGTCCTGAAGAAACTGAACCACAAGAACATCGTGAAGCTGTTCGCCGTGGAGGAGGAGGTCTGGAAACATGACCCTTCACCACACTACCTATTATTATTCTATTCTCATTCATTCATATTTTTATTTTATGCCTATTTTATTCTTATTTGTATTTATTTTGTATATTATTATTTTGTCTTATTCAGATTCTGATCTCATATTGACTCGTCTTGCTTTAGAGCAGCGGTGGGGAACCTTTTTCCTCTCAAGGGCCATTTCAATGTTTACAACATCCTCAGAGGGCCGTACCAATGATTGACCTCTGCTTAAAAAAACTAAAACCACAGCCCATTCATTTCATTCTGTGCAAAGAAAAAGCAACCTCTGAATCCAGATCTCTCACCATGACTCGCGCACGTGCACGGTGTGGCATGCACGCACGTGCACGGTGTGGCGTGACCACCAAAACAGAAGGATATGGACACAAGATGTGTGCAAATGTATTTCGTTTCCTATCCATGTGAACATGATTTAAGTGGGGGGGGGGGGGACCTAACCTCCTCTAGGGGGGTCCAGGGGGCATGCTCCCCGGGAAGATTATTTTTTAAATGTTGAAGTTAAAAGCATCAATCTGGTGCACTTTGAGAGCAACATGAGGAGATCTATGGAAACATCTCTCAACACCAGATGAAACAGAACTGGAAGCACATTTATTTTTCTTTATGGATATTTTACAAATCACTCTCCTTTCAAACTGGATTCTTCTTTATTAATAACTACTTTTTTTTACTGTCATATAGTATTTTATACCTGTTTACTTTATTCTCTTGTTTTTGTATAACTATAATGATCATATAAAGATGTGCCTTTACCTCACTGGTTGGAGAAAAAGCTTCTTATATTCGTTAGCATAGCTAGCTAACCAGATGCTAATAACAACACAGTGATTGACAGAGGAACAGATCACTGGGCTTTCAGCTAAAGACACAGCCACGCAGAAACTGCAGCATGTGTACGGCTCCTTATCGGTACTGCAATTTCTGAAGTGCTGGAGTGGCGTTCTGGTGCTCTCCGTCAGAACTGCACCCCTGTCAGACGAGACATATACCACGTGATGACACGTTAGACTCGTGTTGTGTTCAAGGACCCTGAACTTGGCCAGGAAAAACAGGCACTCGCTTGTTTAATTTTTTTGCGGTCTAGATTTCTTACATTTTTTTCTTTTTTGCGTGTGTTTATAAATTACCTCGAGGGCCGTACCAAATTGTCTCGCGGGCCGTATACGGCCCGGAGGCCGGAGGTTCCCCGCCCCTGCTTTATAGCATGTCTGTGTTCTCCTCAGGTCAGATGTGTTTAACGTGTTTCCTCTCTCAGTCCAACACCCGGCACAAGGTGCTGGTGATGGAGTATTGTCCGTGTGGAAGTCTCTACACCGTCCTCGAGGAATCCTCCAACGCATACGGACTGCCGGAGGACGAGTTCCTCATCGTGCTGCACGACGTCGGTCAGTCACTCAGAACAGGACTCATGTCAGGGTTAGGACTCATGTCAGGGTTAGGACTCATGTCAGGGGTTAGGACTCATGTCAGGGTTAGGACTCATGTCAGGGGTTAGGACTCATGTCAGGGTTAGGACTCATGTCAGGGGTTAGGACTCAGAACAGGACTCATGTCAGGGGTTAGGACTCATGTCAGGGGTTAGGACTCATGTCAGGGGTTAGGACTCAGAACAGGACTCATGTCAGGGGTTAGGACTCATGTCAGGGGTTAGGACTCATGTCAGGGGTTAGGACTCAGAACAGGACTCATGTCAGGGGTTAGGACTCATGTCAGGGGTTAGGACTCATGTCAGGGGTTAGGACTCAGAACAGGACTCATGTCAGGGGTTAGGACTCATGTCAGGGGTTAGGACTCAGAACAGGACTCGTGTCAGGGGTTAGGACTCATTACAGGACTCATGTCAGGGGTTAGGACTCATGTCAGGGGTTAGGACTCATATCAGGGGTTAGGACTCAGAACAGGACTCGTGTCAGGGGTTAGGACTCAGAACAGGACTTGTGTCAGGGGTTAGGACTTGGAACAGGACTCATGTCAGGGGTTAGGACTAAGAACAGAACTCATGTCTGGGGTTAGGACTCATGTCAGGGTTAGGACTCATGTCAGGGGTTAGGACTCATAACAGGACTCATGTCAGGGTTTAGGACTCATAACAGGGGTTAGGACTCATGTCAGGGGTTAGGACTAATGTCAGGGGTTAGGAGTCATAACAAGGGTTAGGACTCATGTCAGGGGTTAGGACTCAGAACAGGGGTTAGGACTCAGAACAGGACTCATGTCAGGGGTTAGGACTCATTACAGGACTCATGTCAGGGGTTAGGACTCATAACAGGGGTTAGGATTCATGTCAGGGGTTAGGACTCATGTCAGGGGTTAGGACTCATAACAGGACTCATGTCAGGGGTTAGGACTCATAACAGGACTCATGTCAGGGGTTAGGACTCATGTCAGGGGTTAGGACTCATAACAGGACTCATGTCAGGGGTTAGGACTCATGTCAGGGGTTAGGACTCATGTCAGGGGTTAGGACTCATGTCAGGGGTTAGGACTCATAACAGGGGTTAGGACTCATGTCAGGGGTTAGGACTCATAACAGGACTCATGTCAGGGGTTAGGACTCATGTCAGGGGTCAGGACTCATGTCAGGAGTTAGGACTCATGTCAGGGGTTAGGACTCAGAACAGGACTCATGTTAGGGGTTAGGACTCATGTCAGGGGTTAGGACTCATAACAGGACTCATGTCAGGGGTTAGGACTCATAACAGGACTCATGTCAGGGGTTAGGACTCATGTCAGGGGTTAGGACTCATAACAGGACTCATATCAGGGGTTAGGACTCATGTCAGGAGTTAGGACTCATGTCAGGGGTTAGGACTCAGAACAGGACTCATGTCAGGGGTTAGGACTCATGTCAGGGGTTAGGACTCATGTCAGGGGTTAGGACTCATAACAGGGGTTAGGACTCATGTCAGGGGTTAGGACTCATGTCAGGGGTTAGGACTCATGTCAGGGGTTAGGACTCATAACAGGACTCATGTCAGGGTTTAGGACTCATAACAGGGGTTAGGACTCATGTCAGGGGTTAGGACTCATGTCAGGGGTTAGGACTCATCTCAGGGGTTAGGAGTCATAACAAGGGTTAGGACTCATGTCAGGGGTTAGGACTCAGAACAGGGGTTAGGACTCAGAACAGGACTCATGTCAGGGGTTAGGACTCATTACAGGACTCATGTCAGGGGTTAGGACTCATAACAGGGGTTAGGATTCATGTCAGGGGTTAGGACTCATGTCAGGGGTTAGGACTCATAACAGGACTCATGTCAGGGGTTAGGACTCATAACAGGACTCATGTCAGGGGTTAGGACTCATGTCAGGGGTTAGGACTCATAACAGGACTCATGTCAGGGGTTAGGACTCATGTCAGGGGTTAGGACTCATGTCAGGGGTTAGGACTCATAACAGGGGTTAGGATTCATGTCAGGGGTTAGGACTCATAACAGGACTCATGTCAGGGGTTAGGACTCATAACAGGACTCATGTCAGGGGTTAGGACTCATGTCAGGGGTTAGGACTCATGTCAGGGGTTAGGACTCATGTCAGGGGTTAGGACTCATAACAGGACTCATGTCAGGGGTTAGGACTCATTCCTGTGTATATAGACTTCTTGCATATTTTATTTGTATTTTATTTTATATGTTTGTTGGAGGAGCTCAGGAGAATCTATGTGTGTGTGTGTGTGTGTGTGTGTGTGTGTGTGTGTGTGTGTGTGTGTGTGTGTGTGTGTGTGTGTGTGTGTGTGTGTGTGTGTGTGTGTGTGTGTGTGTGTGTGTGTGTGTGTGTGTGTGTGTGTGTGTGTGTGTGTGTGTGTGTGTGTGTGTGTGTGTGTGTACCTGTGTGTACCTGTGTGCGTCTCAGTGGCGGGGATGAACCACCTGAGGGAGTACGGCATCGTGCACAGAGACATAAAGCCAGGGAACATCATGCGAGTGATCGGAGAGGGCGGGCGCTCCATCTACAAACTGACCGACTTCGGAGCGGCTCGAGAGCTGGAGGACGACGAGCAGTTTGTGTCTCTGTACGGGACAGAGGAGTACCTGGTGAGGAGCATACACACCTGTTACACACCTGGGGAGAGCACACACACCTGTTACACACCTGGGGAGAGCACACACACCTGTTACACACCTGGGGAGAGCACACACACCTGTTACACACCTGGGGAGAGCACACACACCTGTTACACACCTGGGGAGAGCACACACACCTGTTACACACCTGGGGAGAGTACACACACCTGTTACACACCTGGGGAGAGCACACACACCTGTTACACACCTGGGGAGAGTACACACACACCTGTTACACACCTGGGGAGAGCACACACACCTGTTACACACCTGGGGAGAGTACACACACACCTGTTACACACCTGGGGAGAGCACACACACCTGTTACACACCTGGGGAGAGTACACACACCTGTTACACACCTGGGGAGAGTACACACACCTGTTACACACCTGGGGAGAGCACACACACCTGTTACACACCTGGGGAGAGCACACACACCTGTTACACACCTGGGGAGAGTACACACACTGACACACCTGGTGAGGAGCACACACACCTGTTACACACCTGGTGAGGAGCACATACACCTGTTACACACCTGGGGAGAGTACACACACCTGTTACACACCTGGGGAGAGCACACACACCTGTTACACACCTGGGGAGAGCACACACACCTGTTACACACCTGGGGAGAGCACACACACCTGTTACACACCTGGGGAGAGTAGACATACTAACACACCTGGGGAGGAACACACACACCTGTTACACACCTGGGGAGAGCACACACACCTGTTACACACCTGGGGAGAGTAGACATACTAACACACCTGGGGAGGAACACACACACCTGTTACACACCTGGTGAGGAGCACACACACCTGTTACACACCTGGGGAGGAACACACACACACCTGTTACACACCTGGTGAGGAACACACACACCTGTTACACACCTGGTGAGGAACACACACACCTGGGGAGGAACACACACACCTGTTACACACCTGGTGAGGAACACACACACCGCATTTGTATTCATGTTTTGTTTATATGTATTACTTTTAACTAATAGCTTTCTGGTCTTAATTCTTAAAATATTTTTGACTTAATTTCCCAAATATTTGAAAACAAATGTATTTGAACTTCATTCCTTAAATATTTAGTTTTTTATTCTCAAAACATTTAGAATTAAATCTACAAAAATGTAGTAGAGGGTCAGCCCCAGAGGCCTGACCCCCAGAGGCCTGACCCCCAGAGGCCTGACCCCCAGAGGCCTGTACTACGAAGCCGGTTCAACCTAACCTGGATGTGTTTGAGTTAGCCGGTTGGCCTAATCCAAAACATACGCGCTCTCGCTAAGCGGTCCTACGACGCGGGTTATCAAGTGGATCGCTCAAGCCAGCCGTTTCCTATCTAGTTAGGCGTTCACATGAGAGGGGTGGTATCTGGAGCATTCGACCAATCACAGACATGGAGAAGCGCACTGACAGCGCAGCGTCATACTTCCTGAATGAAAAGTGAACTTTAATATTAGACATATGAAGAAGTTAAAGTTTAAATATCCATGACTTAAACACTTGATCCAGGATCAAAGCCACAGAGCTGCACCTGCAAGGTGAACACAGCTGGGAACAGAACAAGTGTTTGAATGCGTACATTAACAGCTTTATGATATCACTGCCCGTCTAAGACACCATCTGACTTTCATTACATCTGACTCCAGTGTTTCCTCAACTTAATGTGTTGCTTCAAATAATGCTTCTGCATCCAGTCTGTGACGCTGTGAGTGTTGCACGGCCAGATACGGCTCAGCTGACTCAGATCAGGAGATGATACATTATGAAGTGATATGGACTGTACTTAATGTGACTCTGATCCGGTTACTTATGTTGTGGCAGATATTTCAGTAAGCTTTCTTAACGCTAATGTTATAATAGTCAGATTGCTCTGAAGATGGAGGTGATATTCTATTCATGTTCACGTTCACACAGTCGCTGATTGTTGCCGGCCGTCTTTCCTGCGACGGCAGCTTTTCTGTATTTCCTTTCTCCTGTAATATGACTTGATCGCTTTAAACTCCGCACACTGAGCTCTGATTGGTCAGCAGGCGGTGCTTTCACTGAGTTGAGCTCTTAGCCTGCAACCTAACCTGCTCCCGACCAGGCTAGCCGCTCAACATCAGTTACCATGGAGATCTAGCCGCTAAAAAGAGAACCAGCTTCTTAGGACCGGAAACCCAGAGTTACCCTGAAGTTAGCCGCTAAGAGAACATCCTGCTTCGTAGTACACCCCCCTGGTGTTGTCCCAGTAGTTGTTTACCCTCTCCTTCTGTGGTGTTATTCCCGCAGCATCCGGACATGTACGAGCGAGCTGTTCTGAGGAAGGATCACCAGAAGAAGTACGGAGCGACGGTGGATCTGTGGAGCATCGGAGTCACTTTCTACCACGCAGCGAGCGGCAGCCTCCCCTTCAGACCGTTCGAGGGGCCACGGCGCAACAAGGAGGTCATGTAAGAGGAGGAAACATCACTAACACATATATACTTTATTCAACAAGGAGGTCATGAGAGAGGAGGAAACATCACTAACACATATATATACTTTATTCAACAAGGAGGTCATGAGAGAGGAGGAAACATCACTAACACATACTTTATTCAACAAGGAGGTCATGAGAGAGGAGGAAACATCACTAACATATATATACTTTATTCAACAAGGAGGTCATGAGAGAGGAGGAAACATCACTAACACATATATACTTTATTCAACGAGGAGGTCATGAGAGAGGAGGAAACATCACTAACACATATATACTTTATTCAACGAGGAGGTCATGAGAGAGGAGGAAACATCACTAACACATATATACTTTATTCAACAAGGAGGTCATGAGAGAGGAGGAAACATCACTAACACATATATACTTTATTCAACAAGGAGGTCATGAGAGAGGAGGAAACATCACTAACACATATATACTTTATTCAACAAGGAGGTCATGTAAGAGGAGGAAACATCACTAACACATGTATACTTTATTCAACAAGGAGGTCATGTAAGAGGAGGAAACATCACTAACACATATATACTTTATTCAACAAGGAGGCCATGAGAGAGGAGGAAACATCACTAACACATATATACTTTATTCAACAAGGAGGTCATGAGAGAGGAGGAAACATCACTAACACATATATACTTTATTCAACGAGGAGGTCATGAGAGAGGAGGAAACATCACTAACACATATATACTTTATTCAACAAGGAGGTCATGAGAGAGGAGGAAACATCACTAACACATATATACTTTATTCAACAAGGAGGTCATGAGAGAGGAGGAAACATCACTAACACATATATACTTTATTCAACAAGGAGGTCATGAGAGAGGAGGAAACATCACTAACACATATATACTTTATTCAACAAGGAGGCCATGAGAGAGGAGGAAACATCACTAACACATATATACTTTATTCAACAAGGAGGTCATGAGAGAGGAGGAAACATCACTAACATATATATACTTTATTCAACGAGGAGGTCATGAGAGAGGAGGAAACATCACTAACACATATATACTTTATTCAACAAGGAGGTCATGAGAGAGGAGGAAACATCACTAACACATATATACTTTATTCAACGAGGAGGTCATGAGAGAGGAGGAAACATCACTAACACATATATATACTTTATTCAACAAGGAGGTCATGAGAGAGGAGGAAACATCACTAACATATATATACTTTATTCAACAAGGAGGTCATGAGAGAGGAGGAAACATCACTAACACATATATACTTTATTCAACGAGGAGGTCATGAGAGAGGAGGAAACATCACTAACACATATATATACTTTATTCAACAAGGAGGTCATGAGAGAGGAGGAAACATCACTAACACATATATACTTTATTCAACAAGGAGGTCATGAGAGAGGAGGAAACATCACTAACACATATATACTTTATTCAACAAGGAGGTCATGAGAGAGGAGGAAACATCACTAACACATATATACTTTATTCAACAAGGAGGTCATGAGAGAGGAGGAAACATCACTAACACATATATAATAATAATGAGGCTGTTTTCTGACTGTATGTTTGTGTCTCAGGTATAAAATCATCACAGAGAAACCTTCAGGAACGATCTCCGGTCACCAGAAGAGTGAGAACGGGAAGATCGAGTGGAACACCGAGATGCCCGTCTCCTGCAGCCTCTCCAAGTCAGAGACTCTCCTACATCTCACAAAACACTCACTAAATGAGTTTAACGTCATAAATATGTTTAAATGTTCCTCTGCATCACGTTGCTTTAGAAACACTTCTGCTGCCTGCGTTTCACATTTAGACTTTATTTAACCCTTGAGTTACTCTATATACGAACACATTTATAAAAAGGTTACCTGGATATTAAATGTTGAATTGATAAACTTATTATATTGTTTCCAGGGGTCTTCAGAGCCTTTTGACCCCGGTGCTCGCCAACATCCTGGAGGCGGATCAGGAGAAATGTTGGGGATTCGATCAGTTCTTCGCCGAAACGAACGACATCCTTCATCGAACCATCGTCAACGTGTTCAGCCTTCAACAAGCAACGCTGCACCATATCTACATCCACCAGTACAACACGTACGTTATATTATCAAACCATGTCTTCATCCACCGGTACAACACGTACGTTATATTAAACCATGTCTACATCCACCAGTACAACACGTACGTTATATTATCAAACCATGTCTACATCCACCAGTACAACACGTACGTTATATTATCAAACCATGTCTACATCCACCGGTACAACACGTACGTTATATTAAACCATGTCTACATCCACCGGTACAACACGTACGTTATATTATCAAACCATGTCTACATCCACCGGTACAACACGTACGTTATATTATTAAACCATAGCTACATCCACCGGTACAACACGTACGTTATATTATCAAACCATGTCTACATCCACCAGTACAACACGTACGTTATATTATCAAACCATGTCTACATCCACCAGTACAACACGTACGTTATATTATCAAACCATGTCTACATCCACCGGTACAACACGTACGTTATATTATCAAACCATGTCTACATCCACCGGTACAACACGTACGTTATATTAAACCATGTCTACATCCACCAGTACAACACGTACGTTATATTATCAAACCATGTCTACATCCACCAGTACAACACGTACGTTATATTATCAAACCATGTCTACATCCACCGGTACAACACGTACGTTATATTATTAAACCATGTCTACATCCACCGGTACAACACGTACGTTATATTATCAAACCATGTCTACATCCACCAGTACAACACGTACGTTATATTATCAAACCATGTCTACATCCACCGGTACAACACGTACGTTATATTATCAAACCATGTTTACATCCACCGGTACAACATGTACGTTATATCAAACCATGTCTACATCCACCGGTACAACACGTACGTTATATTATCAAACCATGTTTACATCCACCAGTACAACACGTACGTTATATTATCAAACCATGTCTACATCCACCAGTACAACACGTACGTTATATCAAACCATGTCTACATCCACCGGTACAACACGTACGTTATATTAAACCATGTCTACATCCACCGGTACAACACGTACGTTATATTATCAAACCACGTCTACATCCACCGGTACAACACGTACGTTATATTATCAAACCATGTCTTCATCCACCGGTACAACACGTACGTTATATTATCAAACCATGTCTACATCCACCAGTACAACACGTACGTTATATTATCAAACCATGTCTACATCCACCGGTACAACACGTACATTATATTATCAAACCATGTCTACATCCACCGGTACAACACGTACGTTATATTAAACCATGTCTACATCCACCGGTACAACATGTACGTTATATTATCAAACCATGTCTACATCCACCAGTACAACACGTACGTTATATTATCAAACCATGTCTACATCCACCAGTACAACACGTACGTTATATTATCAAACCATGTCTACATCCACCGGTACAACACGTACGTTATATTAAACCATGTCTACATCCACCGGTACAACACGTACGTTATATTATCAAACCATGTCTACATCCACCGGTACAACACGTACGTTATATTATTAAACCATAGCTACATCCACCGGTACAACACGTACGTTATATTATCAAACCATGTCTACATCCACCAGTACAACACGTACGTTATATTATCAAACCATGTCTACATCCACCAGTACAACACGTACGTTATATTATCAAACCATGTCTACATCCACCGGTACAACACGTACGTTATATTATCAAACCATGTCTACATCCACCGGTACAACACGTACGTTATATTATCAAACCATGTCTACATCCACCGGTACAACACGTACGTTATATTATCAAACCATGTTTACATCCACCGGTACAACATGTACGTTATATCAAACCATGTCTACATCCACCGGTACAACTCGTACGTTATATTATCAAACCATGTTTACATCCACCAGTACAACACGTACGTTATATTATCAAACCATGTCTACATCCACCAGTACAACACGTACGTTATATCAAACCATGTCTACATCCACCGGTACAACACGTACGTTATATTAAACCATGTCTACATCCACCGGTACAACACGTACGTTATATTATCAAACCACGTCTACATCCACCGGTACAACACGTACGTTATATTATCAAACCATGTCTACATCCACCAGTACAACACGTACGTTATATTATCAAACCATAGCTACATCCACCAGTACAACACGTACGTTATATTATCAAACCATGTCTACATCCACCAGTACAACACGTACGTTATATTATCAAACCATGTCTACATCCACCGGTACAACACGTACGTTATATTAAACCATGTCTACATCCACCGGTACAACACGTACGTTATATTATCAAACCATGTCTACATCCACCAGTACAACACGTACGTTATATTATCAAACCATGTCTACATCCACCGGTACAACATGTACGTTATATTAAACCATGTCTACATCCACCGGTACAACACGTACGTTATATTATCAAACCATGTCTACATCCACCGGTACAACACGTACGTTATATTACTAAACCATGTCTACATCCACCAGTACAACACGTACGTTATATTATCAAACCATGTCTACATCCACCCGTACAACACGTACGTTATATTATCAAACCATGTCTACATCCACCAGTACAACACGTACGTTATATTATCAAACCATGTCTACATCCACCGGTACAACACGTACGTTATATTATCAAACCATGTCTACACCCACCGGTACAACACGTACGTTATATTAAACCATGTCTACATCCACCAGTACAACACGTACGTTATATTATCAAACCATGTCTACATCCACCAGTACAACACGTACGTTATATTATCAAACCATGTCTACATCCACCGGTACAACACGTACGTTATATTAAACCATGTCTACATCCACCGGTACAACACGTACGTTATATTATCAAACCATGTCTACATCCACCGGTACAACACGTACGTTATATTATTAATAGGGCCGGGACTCGATTAAAAAAATTAATCTAATTAATTAGAGGCTTTGTAATTAATTAATCGAAATTAATCGCATTTTTAATCACATATAAATATATTTGACCTGAGAACAGTGAGAAGCAATTTTTTTCACATGGATTTTAGTATACCATTAGGCGCATTCACACCGCAGTACTTTTCCCACAAAGGTTCATGAGAACTCTTTGAACCTGGGGGTGGATTAGACAAATGAAGCCGCTGACGTCACTTGTTCTTCTTTGGGTTTACTGGCAGGCCGCAAACCACTTCACGTCGTATACTGCCGCCCAAAGTCCCCGGCCAGAAGTCCCCGGAGTTGGGGACTGGCTTCAGTAGAAGCTGCTGGGAGTCCCAGCAGCTTCTACTGAAGCCTTCCGAGTAAATCGCCAGAACGCCGACACCTCCTCATCTCCACCGCTCCCATGTTTTATTTTGTGTTGCCATAAGTTAGTCTCTCTGCGTTTATGCGCTGGGCTAATGCTAATAATGCTAATAATGCTAATGCGAGGATAATAAAATGGCGGCTTCACAAAACTGTTTGGGAGTTTTACGGGGCGTGGTTTGCAATCCGCCCAGCCAATCAGAAATATAGCTCTTTTCTCACAAGAGAGCCGTACGAAAGTCCCTGCTCTCTAGCAGCTCTCTGCTCTCTAGCAGGGACTTTCGTGGGGGTAAAAAGGTTCTCATGAACTAATTTTAGTACCGGCTCTTTTTGGTGTGAACGCGATAAAAGAGGCTAGCTTCCACGCTAGCTTCCACGCTAGCTGCTATATGTTTTGCATTGAGGTGATACTTGAGGCTTGATGTGCTGCGGTGATATGCGAATTCCTTTTTGCATAATTTGCACACAACCGTGCTCTTATCGACGCTTCCATCCGTCCGTTTTTTAAAACAACATTTCCCACTGTTGTTCACTGTGGTTTGTTGTTGTCTGAAGTCATGAACGTTAGTTGGTGCTCCAGTATAATCGGTACGCCTGAAACTCATCCAGTGAGAAACGTTCCGCGGTGCAAAAATAAGTGCGATTAAAATGCGTTAATTTTTTTAACGCGTTAATTTTTGTGTAATTAATTAATCTTAATTAACGCGTTAAAGTCCCGGCCCTAATTATTAAACCATAGCTACATCCACCGGTACAACACGTACGTTATATTATCAAACCATGTCTACATCCACCAGTACAACACGTACGTTATATTATCAAACCATGTCTACATCCACCAGTACAACACGTACGTTATATTATCAAACCATGTCTACATCCACCGGTACAACACGTACGTTATATTATCAAACCATGTCTACATCCACCGGTACAACACGTACGTTATATTAAACCATGTCTACATCCACCAGTACAACACGTACGTTATATTATCAAACCATGTCTACATCCACCAGTACAACACGTACGTTATATTATCAAACCATGTCTACATCCACCGGTACAACACGTACGTTATATTATTAAACCATGTCTACATCCACCGGTACAACACGTACGTTATATTATCAAACCATGTCTACATCCACCAGTACAACACGTACGTTATATTATCAAACCATGTCTACATCCACCGGTACAACACGTACATTATATTATCAAACCATGTCTACATCCACCGGTACAACACGTACGTTATATTAAACCATGTCTACATCCACCGGTACAACATGTACGTTATATTATCAAACCATGTCTACATCCACCAGTACAACACGTACGTTATATTATCAAACCATGTTTACATCCACCGGTACAACATGTACGTTATATCAAACCATGTCTACATCCACCGGTACAACACGTACGTTATATTATCAAACCATGTTTACATCCACCAGTACAACACGTACGTTATATTATCAAACCATGTCTACATCCACCAGTACAACACGTACGTTATATCAAACCATGTCTACATCCACCGGTACAACACGTACGTTATATTAAACCATGTCTACATCCACCGGTACAACACGTATGTTATATTATCAAACCACGTCTACATCCACCGGTACAACACGTACGTTATATTATCAAACCATGTCTTCATCCACCGGTACAACACGTACGTTATATTATCAAACCATGTCTACATCCACCAGTACAACACGTACGTTATATTATCAAACCATGTCTACATCCACCGGTACAACACGTACGTTATATTATTAAACCATGTCTACATCCACCGGTACAACACGTACGTTATATTATCAAACCATGTCTACATCCACCAGTACAACACGTACGTTATATTATCAAACCATGTCTACATCCACCCGTACAACACGTACGTTATATTATCAAACCATGTCTACATCCACCAGTACAACACGTACGTTATATTATCAAACCATGTCTACATCCACCGGTACAACACGTACGTTATATTATCAAACCATGTCTACACCCACCGGTACAACACGTACGTTATATTAAACCATGTCTACATCCACCAGTACAACACGTACGTTATATTATCAAACCATGGTCTACATCCACCAGTACAACACGTACGTTATATTATCAAACCATGTCTACATCCACCGGTACAACACGTACGTTATATTAAACCATGTCTACATCCACCGGTACAACACGTACGTTATATTATCAAACCATGTCTACATCCACCGGTACAACACGTACGTTATATTATTAATAGGGCCGGGACTCGATTAAAAAAATTAATCTAATTAATTAGAGGCTTTGTAATTAATTAATCGAAATTAATCGCATTTTTAATCACATATAAATATATTTGACCTGAGAACAGTGAGAAGCAATTTTTTTCACATGGATTTTAGTATACCATTAGGCGCATTCACACCGCAGTACTTTTCCCACAAAGGTTCATGAGAACTCTTTGAACCTGGGGGTGGATTAGACAAATGAAGCCGCTGACGTCACTTGTTCTTCTTTGGGTTTACTGGCAGGCCGCAAACCACTTCACGTCGTTATACTGCCGCCCAAAGTCCCCGGCCAGAAGTCCCCGGAGTTGGGGACTGGCTTCAGTAGAAGCTGCTGGGAGTCCCAGCAGCTTCTACTGAAGCCTTCCGAGTAAATCGCCAGAACGCCGACACCTCCTCATCTCCACCGCTCCATGTTTTATTTTGTGTTGCCATAAGTTAGTCTCTCTGCGTTTATGCGCTGGGCTAATGCTAATAATGCTAATAATGCTAATGCGAGGATAATAAAATGGCGGCTTCACAAAAACTGTTTGGGAGTTTTACGGGGCGTGGTTTGCAATCCGCCCAGCCAATCAGAAATATAGCTCTTTTCTCACAAGAGAGCCGTACGAAAGTCCCTACTCTCTAGCAGCTCTCTGCTCTCTAGCAGGGACTTTCGTGGGGGTAAAAAGGTTCTCATGAACTAATTTTAGTACCGGCTCTTTTTGGTTTGAACGCGATAAAAGAGGCTAGCTTCCACGCTAGCTTCCACGCTAGCTGCTATATGTTTTGCATTGAGGTGATACTTGAGGCTTGATGTGCTGCGGTGATATGCGAATTCCTTTTTGCATAATTTGCACACAACCGTGCTCTTATCGACGCTTCCATCCGTCCGTTTTTTAAAACAACATTTCCCACTGTTGTTCACTGTGGTTTGTTGTTGTCTGAAGTCATGAACGTTAGTTGGTGCTCCAGTATAATCGGTACGCCTGAAACTCATCCAGTGAGAAACGTTCCGCGGTGCAAAAATAAGTGCGATTAAAATGCGTTAATTTTTTTAACGCGTTAATTTTTGTGTAATTAATTAATCTTAATTAACGCGTTAAAGTCCCCAGCCCTAATTATTAAACCATAGCTACATCCACCGGTACAACACGTACGTTATATTATCAAACCATGTCTACATCCACCAGTACAACACGTACGTTATATTATCAAACCATGTCTACATCCACCAGTACAACACGTACGTTATATTATCAAACCATGTCTACATCCACCGGTACAACACGTACGTTATATTATCAAACCATGTCTACATCCACCGGTACAACACGTACGTTATATTAAACCATGTCTACATCCACCAGTACAACACGTACGTTATATTATCAAACCATGTCTACATCCACCAGTACAACACGTACGTTATATTATCAAACCATGTCTACATCCACCGGTACAACACGTACGTTATATTATTAAACCATGTCTACATCCACCGGTACAACACGTACGTTATATTATCAAACCATGTCTACATCCACCAGTACAACACGTACGTTATATTATCAAACCATGTCTACATCCACCGGTACAACACGTACGTTATATTATCAAACCATGTCTACATCCACCGGTACAACACGTACGTTATATTAAACCATGTCTACATCCACCGGTACAACATGTACGTTATATTATCAAACCATGTCTACATCCACCAGTACAACACGTACGTTATATTATCAAACCATGTTTACATCCACCGGTACAACATGTACGTTATATCAAACCATGTCTACATCCACCGGTACAACACGTACGTTATATTATCAAACCATGTTTACATCCACCAGTACAACACGTACGTTATATTATCAAACCATGTCTACATCCACCAGTACAACACGTACGTTATATCAAACCATGTCTACATCCACCGGTACAACACGTACGTTATATTAAACCATGTCTACATCCACCGGTACAACACGTATGTTATATTATCAAACCACGTCTACATCCACCGGTACAACACGTACGTTATATTATCAAACCATGTCTTCATCCACCGGTACAACACGTACGTTATATTATCAAACCATGTCTACATCCACCAGTACAACACGTACGTTATATTATCAAACCATGTCTACATCCACCGGTACAACACGTACATTATATTAAACCATGTCTACATCCACCGGTACAACACGTACGTTATATTAAACCATGTCTACATCCACCAGTACAACACGTACGTTATATTATCAAACCATGTCTACATCCACCAGTACAACACGTACGTTATATTATCAAACCATGTCTACATCCACCAGTACAACACGTACGTTATATTATCAAACCATGTCTACATCCACCGGTACAACACATACGTTATATTATCAAACCATGTTTACATCCACCGGTACAACATGTACGTTATATCAAACCATGTCTACATCCACCGGTACAACACGTACGTTATATTATCAAACCATGTTTACATCCACCAGTACAACACGTACGTTATATTATCAAACCATGTCTACATCCACCAGTACAACACGTACGTTATATTATCAAACCATGTCTACATCCACCGGTACAACACGTACGTTATATTATCAAACCATGTCTACATCCACCGGTACAACACGTACGTTATATTATCAAACCATATCTACATCCACCAGTACAACACGTACGTTATATTATCAAACCATGTCTACATCCACCGGTACAGACACGTACGTTATATTATCAAACCATGTTTTACATCCACCGGTACAACATGTACGTTATATCAAACCATGTCTAACTCCACCGGTACATACACGTACGTTATATTATCAAACCATGTTTACATCCACCAGTACAACACGTACGTTATATTATCAAACCATGTCTACATCCACCAGTACAACACGTAGTTATAATCAAACCATGTCTACAATCCACACGTACAAGACACGTACGTTATATTAAACCATGTGCTACATCCACCGGTACACACGTACGTTATTTATCAAACCACGTCTACATCCACCGGTACAACACGTACTTATATTATCAAACCATGTCTACATCACCAGTACAACACGTACGTTATATTATCAAACCATAGCTACATCCACCAGTACAACACGTACGTTACTACTCCACCAGTACAACACGTACGTTATATTATCAAACCATGTCTACATCCACCGGTACAACACGTACGTTATATTAAACCATGTCTACATCCACCGGTACAAACACGTACGTTATATTAAACCATGTCTACATCCACCGGTACAACACGTACGTTATATTATCAAACATGTCTACATCCACCAGTACAACACGTACGTTATATTATCAAACCATGTCTACATCCACCGGTACAACATGTACGTTATATTAAACCATGTCTACATCCACCGGTACAACACGTACGTTATATTATCAAACCATGTCTACATCCACCGGTACAACACGTACGTTATATTACTAAACCATGTCTACATCCACCAGTACAACACGTACGTTATATTATCAAACCATGTCTACATCCACCAGTACAACACGTACGTTATATTATTAAACCATATCTACATCCACCGGTACAACACGTACGTTATATTATTAAACCACGTCTACATCCACCAGTACAACACGTACGTTATATTATCAAACCATGTCTACATCCACCGGTACAACACGTACGTTATATTATTAAACCATGTCTACATCCACCGGTACAACACGTACGTTATATTATCAAACCATGTCTACATCCACCGGTACAACACGTACGTTATATTATTAAACCATAGCTACATCCACCGGTACAACACGTACGTTATATTATCAAACCATATCTACATCCTAAATTTTTGAGGTTTGAAAAAAATCGAATACCTTCAGAAGAAAACGATAAACTTTCCCTTTAGCTTTGCAAAAAGTATATATATTTCTTCAGAGCTGCGTTCCCTTGGTTCATTTTGAGATTTTCATAAAAAGTCTGAATCTTGGGGGAAATAATCAGTTTTTTTTTAAAAGTCAAAGATTTTGAGGGAATTCTTTTTTTGATTTTCAGGAAAAAAATCAAAATGTTGATATTTGGAGAATTTTTTCGAAAAATATTGAGTTTTGAGAAAGAAAATCAGAATTTCAGAGATTTTCAGAAAAATGTCAGAACTTTGGGAATAAAAAGAGAAAAGAAGATTCAGATTCTGAGATGTTTGTTCCGAGCTGCTGTTCCCTGTGTGTCCTCAGGGCGTCGCTGTTCCAGGAGCTGTTGTCTCGGCGCTGCAGTATCCCGCTCCACCACCAGGAGCTGCATTACGAGGGCCGCCGCCTCGTGCTTGACCCGAACCGCCAGGCGCAGGTTTTCCCCAAAACATCCCGAGAAAACCCGATCATGCTGCTGAGCCGCGAGGCCGTCGCCACCGTGGGGCTCATCTTCGAGGACCGTACGTTATTTATTCAATTATTACTACTTTATTCATGTTTTTATTCATCTTCGAGGACCGTACGTTATTTATTCAATTATTACTACTTTATTCATGTTTTTATTCATCCCCGAGGACCGTACGTTATTTATTCATTTATAACTAATTTACTGATGTTTTTATTCATCTTCGAGGACCGTACGTAGAAAACTACTTCATTTTCCGTTTTGAGAAAAAAAAGGTTTTCAAGAAAATAATTTTGAGAATTAAGTCAGTGTTTTTTTTTATATCCGAATTTTGCGATTTAGAAAAAAATCGCCATTTTTGAGATTTTGATAAAAAAGTCAACATTGAGAGAATTTTTTTTGAAGTTTGAGATCTTGAGATAACAAAAACAATGACACGTACATATCCTGGTTTGTGTTTGTTTATCAATTCAAACATTTGACAGCTTTCTTAAATTTTACATTTTAATATCGGCTTCTCCTTGGATTCCAAGTATCAATAAAAGGTTTAAAAAAATACCTAAAAGTGAGTTATTTAGCTTTAATTAAAGAGCTGCCTCTAACCTGTTTCCGTGTTTCTTTCTCTGCAGCGAGTCCCCCGAAAGTTCAGCCTCGCTACGACCTGGACCTCGACGCCAGCTACGCTAAGGTATATCAAATCACTTCAAACAAGACCAGTTATCCCTCATTTCTAAATTCTGACTTTTCTTTCCTTCTGAAAATCCCATTTTGTAAAAAGTTTTTTCCGAAAATCTCAAAATTCCGATTTGTTTTTTAAAAACTCAAATGTCTAACTTTTTCTTTAAAATGTCAGAATTTAGATTTTTTTCCTGTAAATCTCAAATGACTTTTTTTCTTAAAATTAGGACTTTTTCTTGGAAATCTGCAAAACTCTTTTTCTCAAAATGTTTAATTAATTATCGTTTTTACTGTGTTTATTGTATTTTGTAACTGGCACTACAATTTCCTTCGGGATAAATAAAGTCTTATCTTAATTATCCTAATATGTAAATGTTGTTGTTGTTGTTGTTGTTTCCAGACGTTTGCTGGAGACGTGGGTCACCTGTGGAAAACCTCCGAGTCTCTGCTGCTTTATCAGGAGCTCGTGAGGAAGGGAGTGCGAGGCCTGATGTGAGTTAAAAACCAGCGAGGTCGTTTGTTGTTGTTGTTGTTGTTGTTGATGAAGACATGCTGAATATTATGGGATGTTCTGTGTGTGCAGAGAGCTGATGAAGGAGGACTACAGTGAGATCCTTCACAAGAAGTCTGAAGTCTTCCATCTCTGCAATTACTGCACCCAAATCCTGCAGAGGACGGAGCAGCTGTGAGACATTTTCATTAACCAATTTAGTAATATATTGATTCAACTATTTATTTATTTAGATATTTATTTATATTTGTTTTGTTGATTTATAATAAGGTTGTTTATTAAATGTTTATTCATTAATTTAGATATTCTTTTCATATATTTCCGTTTGACTTAGGTCTTTATTTGTTCTTTTATTACCTCTATTTAAAACGAATGTGTTTCTGCTGCAGGTTTGAGGTTATGATGCAGGCCAACATGCTGTCCTCAGAGTACGACGAGATCTGTGACATGCACAAGAAAGTCCTCAGAGTGAGCTCACACACACACACACACACACACACACACACACACACACACACACACACACGCACTGTGTACTCTGTGTGTATAACGGTGTGTATCAATGTGTGTGTGCAGATCTCTGGTTCTCTGGAGCCCATCGAGCGAACGTCTCAGGATTTGAAGTCTAAGTTCCTCCCCTCCGGGCTGCTGAGTGACAGCTGGATCCTGCAGGTTGGAACGCACCCCGAGGACCGGAAGTGAGCTCACTGCCCGCTTATACTCAATATTCTGCATATCTTTTGTTGATAAGCTTAATGAACTTAATGAACACCTCCGTCAGAAAATCCAGCTCTATTTTGCTAATTGTATTAAAATCACATTTTTATTTCATGTTTTTTATTAGTTGAGATATTTAGTTATAGTTACTTATTTTGTATTGAATTAGTTGTTTATTTATGTTGTTATTTTTTTGTTTTCTTACTTTTTTCTGTCATTTATTTATTTTGGGTTATTTATTGATTTTCCTATTTATTTTGTAACTTATCTATTTGTTTATTATTTATTTAGTAACTGAGATTTTATTTAATAAATTATTTATTCATCAATTATTTCGGTTATTGTATTATTTATTTAATGATATGTTTATATTAATGATGCATTATGTATTGATGTATTAATGGTTATATGATGATTCCCTTCAGTGTGGAGAAGATCAAAGTGCTGCTGGACTCCATCACAGCCATCTACCATCAGTTCAAGAAGGACAAAGCTGAGAGGCGTCAGTGTTTACATGCATCTCATGATAATATGAATTTATTCCCTTTTAAAATATCTATGGATCCTTTCTTTAATCTGCTGTAACTCTCACTGTGTTCAGGTCTGCCGTACAACGAGGAGCAGATCCACAAATTTGACAAGTAAATATATATTCTGTGTTTATTTATTACAATAATATCAGTTCTGCCAATCGGTCAAATCATTCGTTAATAAAGTTAAACTACCGTTTTTTTTTTTGATAATTCTTTTGTGGTAAAATAATCAGTATAATGTGACCTTCACATTCATATTAATAATGACTGTGTCCTTCAGGCAGAAGTTGGTGCTTCATGCGTCTAAAGCGCGCTCCCTCTTCACGGAGGAATGCGCCATGAAGTACCGCCTCTTCATCTCCAAGAGCGAGGAGTGGATGAGGTACGGACAGGAAGTGACATCACACGTTGCCATGACACCCCGCTCTGTTGCTAAGCGACCCTGTGTGTGTGTGTGTGTGTGTGTGTGTGTGTGTGTGTGTGTGTGTGTGTGTGTGTGTGTGTGTGTGTGTGTGTGTGTGTGTGTGTGTGTGTGTGTGTGTGTGTGTGTGTGTGTGTGTGTGTGTGTGTGTGTGTGTGTGTGTGTGTGTGTGTGTGTGTGTGTGTGTGTGTCGGAAGGTGCATCACGTGAGGAAGCAGCTGCTGGGAGTCTCCTCTCAGCTGATGAACATCGAGAAGGAGATCACTCTGTTGATGGAGCGGGCGCTCAAGGTGACAACAACAACAACAACAACAACATATTGATTTAATACAGTTTATTACATTTATTTTGTATTCATGTAGTTATTTTTGATTGATTATTTATTTAGCTTGTTGTTTTTTTTAGAAAGTGAGTTATTAATTACATTGTTTATTTATTGAGTGAGTTTATAATTCACATGAGTATTTATGTATTAATTAATGCTTTTGGTTAATTGAGTATTTATTAGTTAATTGTATGTGTATAAGTTAATGAAGTCCTAATTACCTGTGTGTGTGTGTGTGTGTTGTTAAAGCTGCAGGAGCACGTCCCTCAGAAGCTCCTCCCCCTCCTCTCCTCAGGGATGAAGCCTCAAGCTTTCCTCAGCCAGAACACGCTGGTGGAGATGACTCTGGGGTACCTTCATCATCTTCGTCATCATCACATGTCACAGGAACATGCAGAACATCATAATAACGTGTGTTGCTCCTCAGGATGAAGAAGCTGAAGGAGGAGATGGAGGGCGTCGTGAAGGAGCTCAACGAGAACAACCACTTCCTGGAGAGGTAACAGGGGGTTAATACAGGGTTAGCTTAGCTTAGCACAAACACTGGAGGTGGAACTGCTAGCATGGGGGGTTAATACAGGGTTAGCCTAGCTTAGCACAAATACTGGAAGTGGAGGGGAACTGCTAGCATGGGGGGTTAATACAGGGTTAGCCTAGCTTAGCACAAACACTGGAGGTGGAGGGGAACTGCTAGCATGGGGGGTTAATACAGGGTTAGCCTAGCTTAGCACAAACACTGGAGGTGGAGGGGAACTGCTAGCATGGGGGGTTAATACAGGGTTAGCCTAGCTTAGCACAAACACTGGAGGTGGAGGGGAACTGCTAGCATGGGGGGTTAATACAGGGTTAGCCTAGCTTAGCACAAACACTGGAGGTCAAGGGGAACTGCTAACATGAGGGGTTAATACAGGGTTAGCTTAGCTTAGCACAAACACTGGATGTGTAGGGAAACTGCTAGCATGGGGGTTTAATACAGGGTTAGCCTAGCTTAGCACAAACACTGGAGGTGGAGGGGAACTGCTAGCATGGGGGGTTAATACAGGGTAAGCCTAGCTTAGCACAAACACTGTAGGTCATGGTGAACTGCTAGCATGGGGGGTTAATACAGGGTTAGCCTAGCTTAGCACAAACACTGGAGGTGGAGGGGAACTGCTAGCATGAGGGGTTAATACAGGGTTAGCCTAGCTTAGCACAAACACTGGATGTGGAGGAGAACTGCTAGCATGGGGGGTTAATACAGGGTTAGCCTAGTTTAGCACAAACACTGGAGGTGGAGGGGAACTGCTAGCATGGGCGGTTAATACTGGGTTAGCCTAGCTTAGCACAAACACTGGAGGTGGAGGGGAACTGCTAGCATGGGGGGTTAATACAGGGTTAGCCTAGCTTAGCACAAACACTGGAGGTCATGGTTAACTGCTAGCATGGGAGGTTAATACAGGGTTAGCCTAGCTTAGCACAAACACTGGAGGTGGAGGGGAACTGCTAGCATAGGGGGTTAATACAGGGTTAGCCTAGCTTAGCACAAACACTGGAGGTGAACTGCTAGCATGGGGGGTTAATACAGGGTTAGCCTAGCTTAGCATGAACACTGGAGGTGGAGGTGAACTGCTAGCATGGGCGGTTAATACTGGGTTAGCCTAGCTTAGCACAAACACTGGAGGTGGAGGGGAACTGCTAGCATGGGGGGTTAATACAGGGTTAGCCTAGCTTAGCACAAACACTGGATGTGGAGGGGAACTGCTAGCATGGCTCCACGAGAGTTATATCAACATTTAGGGTTTTTTAATGAGATAGTGATTTAAATACAGTAGATTCAGAGGTTTAAGGGGTTTTTAGAGTTCAGATTTAAGACTCTTTAAAAGGTATTATCTATAAAATTGATAAATACAAATGAGCCTATTGTATATAAAGCTTTATTAAATATTAGTGAAATGTAAGAGATTTATTATCAGATTTAATCCTCTCTTCAGAAGGAGCGATGCTAACACTTTCCCTCCACTCCCAGTGTTTGTGCTAAGCTAAGCTACGTCCCGGGTGATGCATATTTTTATTTAATGAATGTTTTTGTTTCCAGGTTCGGGTTTATCCAACGTTCAGATTTGTGTTCCTGAAATGTGTTAAAATATGTGCATATTTAATGAGAGTATGGCTCATTTGCATATTTAAACATGCTATTTCAGAAAACTTGTAATACAAAAAACAATTGTCTTTATGTAAGTAATTAACTGGAGAAAATTCCAGCTGATATCTTTAAGTTAAAAAAATGACCCTATTCACCTGGAGTGTCTCGCCTTAATGAATGTTTTTGTTTCCAGGTTCGGGACTCTGACGCTGGACGGGGGTCTGAGAGGGTGAACGGGGGTCTGAGAGGATGAACATGAGTGTTTCTCCGGAGGTTTCTGCAGTGTGTAAATATCCTGAAGAGTTTCCTGTAAATAATAATAACTGTCAGAAACAGCTTTTCTACTTCCTGTTACTGCTGCTTCAAACACGCTTTAAACGCTGAAAATCCCTTAAAATCCCTTAAGTACTTCTTAATTTACCCCTTAAAACACAGACTATGGTGAACGTTTAATTAGGACATTAATAATAAACGGCAAGGTGTTATTAAGTGTATGGGATATTTCAAAATGATTTATGATATTTAAGGGAACATTTAAGTATTCCCTTAAATATACAAAATAATACTTAATTTAAAAAAAAAAATTAAATCAATTTTTTTTTGTCTGCCAAATATATGGATCTTTTAAAATGAGATTTCAGGGTAAATTGAGGATTATTTAAGTGTTTTTTTAAGGGGTTATTGTATCCATGGGTTGAAATAAATTAAGATATTTCTAAGGTTTTTTCTGTATTCTTTAATTGGATAAAAAGTAAGGGTAACTTTTGAGGCTATTTCAAGGAGTTTTTAACCCTTAAGAAAAGGCCTTAACTGTGCAGAAAGACTTAAAAATACCTTAATATAAAGCCCTTAATTGTGTCTTTAATTACTCTAATGTGTAACCTGATGGCCTTTTAAAATGAAATGTAAGTGGGTTTAGTTTAAAGATACCGATGACCTTTGTTCATTATTGATTGTTCTTAAAGGCCGATCAATAATGAACGAGTTGAATCATTGAATCATATATCGATGAGTCTCCGGTCAGTACCCATCTCTTCCTGTTGTCGATAATCAGCGATGGAACAACTTGTAAATAAAGATATATCTTATCAAAGCTCTGTTGTGATTGGTCAGCTGCTTGGAGATGTCCCGCCCCTTAGCCTATTAACACAGAATAACCCTTCAAATGTATAAAGTTTGATTTATAAATTAATAGATTTAATAATTTAAAAAGTAAGACGAGTATTAAAGTTTAAATTGACGACTTTAATGACAATAAAGAGATGAGTGTATTCTGTCACATGTAACCCTTGTGTGGTGTTTGTGTCGTGGGTCTGCTGCACCCGCTGCCTTTTGGGCTTTCAATCAAACTATCTGTTAAAATGCTCAACAGATGTTACTTCCTCTCAAGCAACACAAACAGATGTTACTTCCTCTCAAGCAACACAAACAGATGTTACTTCCTCTCAAGCAACACAAACAGATGTTACTTCCTCTCAAGCAACACAAACAGATGTTACTTCCTCTTCAATTGGTGCCTTGCCCAAAACAACACAGATGTTACTTCCTCTCAAGCAACACAACAAAACCCCCCCCCCCCAAAAAGATGTTACTCCTCTTCAAGCAACACAAACAGATGTTACTTCCTCTCAAGCAACACAAACAGATGTTACTTCCTCTCAAGCAACACAAACAGATGTTACTTCCTCTCAAGCAAACACAAACAGATGTTACTTCCTCTCAAGCAACACAAACAGATGTTACTTTCATCTCAAGCACCACACAAACAGATGTTACTTCCTCTCAAGCAACACAAACAGATGTTACTTCCTCTCAAGCAACACAAACAGATGTTACTTCCTCTCAAGCAACACAAACAGATGTTACTTCCTCTCAAGCAACACAAACAGATGTTACTTCCTCTCAAGCAACACAAACAGATGTTACTTCCTCTCAAGCAACACAAACAGATGTTACTTCCTCTCAAGCAACACAAACAGATGTTACTTCCTCTCAAGCAACACAAACAGATGTACTTCCTCTCAAGCAACACAAACAGATGTTACTTCCTCTCAAGCAACACAAACAGATGTTACTTCCTCTCAAGCAACACAAACAGATGTTACTTCCTCTCAAGCAACACAAACAGATGTTACTTCCTCTTCAAGCAACACAAACAGATGTTACTTCTCTCAAGCAACCACAAACAGATGTTACTTCCTCTCAAGCAACACAAACAGATGTTACTTCCCTCCAAGCAACACAAACAGATGTTACTTCATCTCAAGCAACACAAACAGATGTTACTTCCTCTCAAGCAACACAAACAGATGTTACTTCCTCTCAAGCAACACAAACAGATGTTACTTCCTCTCAAGCAACACAAACAGATGTTACTTCCTCTCAGCACACAAACAGTATGTTACTTCCTCTCAAGCAACACAAACAGATGTTACTTCCTCTCAAGCAACACAAACAGATGTTACTTCCTCTCAAGCAACACAAACAGATGTTACTTCCTCCTCAAGCAACACAAACAGATGTTACTTCCTCTCAAGCAACACAAACAGATGTTACTTCCTCTCAAGAAACACAAACAGATGTTACTTCCTCTCAAGCAACACAAACAGATGTTACTTCCTCTCAAGCAACACAAACAGATTGTTACTTCATCTCAAGCAACACAAACAGATGTATACTTCCTCTCAAGCAACACAAACAGATGTTACTTCCTCTCAAGCAACACAAACAGATGTACTTCCTCTCAAGCAACACAAAACAGATGTTACTTCCTCTCAAGCAACACAACAGATGTTACTTCCTCTCAAGCAACACAAACAGATGTTACTTCCTCTCAAGCAACCCAAAACAGATGTTACTTCCTCTCAAGCAACACAAACAGATGTTACTTCCTCTCAAGCAACACAAACAGATGTTACTTCCTCTCAAGCAACACAAACAGATGTTACTTCCTCTCAAGCAACACAAACAGATGTTACTTCCTCTCAAGCAACACAAACAGATGTTACTTCCTCTCAAGCAACACAAACAGATGTTACTTCCTCTCAAGCAACACAAACAGATGTTACTTCCTCTCAAGCAACACAAACAGATGTTACTTCCTCTCAAGCAACACAAACAGATGTTACTTCCTCTCAAGCAACACAAACAGATGTTACTTCCTCTCAAGCAACACAAACAGATGTTACTTCCTCTCAAGCAACACAAACAGATGTTACTTCCTCTCAAGCAACACAAACAGATGTTACTTCCTCTCAAGCAACACAAACAGATGTTACTTCCTCTTCAAGCAACACAAACAGATGTTACTTCCTCTCAAGCAACACAAACAGATGTTACTTCCTCTCAAGCAACACAAACAGATGTTACTTCCTCTCAAGCAACACAAACAGATGTTACTTCCTCTCAAGCAACACCAAACAGATGTTACTTCATCTCAAGCAACACAAACAGATGTTACTTCCTCTCAAGCAACACAAACAGATGTTACTTCCTCTCAAGCAACACAATTCCCCTCTCACACAACAGATGTTACTTCCTCTCAAGCAACACAAACAGATGTTACTTCATCTCAAGCCAACACAAACAGATGTTACTTCCTCTCAAGCAACACAAACAGATGTTACTTCCTCTCAAGCAACACAAACAGATGTTACTTCCTCTCAAGCAACACCAAACAGATGTTACTTCCTCTCAAGCAACACAAACAGATGTACTTCCTCTCAAGCAACACAAACAGATGTTCTACTTCCTCTCCAAGCAACACAAACAGATGTTACTTCCTCTCAAGCAACACAAACAGATGTTACTTCCTCTCAAGCAACACACAACAGATGTTACTTCCTCTCAAGCAACACAACAGATGTTACTTCCTCTCAAGCACACAAACAGGATGTTACTTCCTCTCAAGCAACACAAACAGATGTTACTTCCTCTCAAGCACACAAACAGATGTTACTTCCTCTCAAGCAACACAAACAGATGTTACTTCCTCTCAAGCCAACACAAACAGATGTTACTTCCTCTCAAGCCAACACAAACAGATGTTACTTCCTCTCAAGGCAACACAAACAGATGTTTACTTCCTCTCAAGCAACACAAACAGATGTTACTTCCTCTCAAGCAACACAAACAGATGTTACTTCCTCTTCAAGCAACACAAACAGATGTTACTTCCTCTCAAGCAACACAAACAGATGTTACTTCCTCTCAAGCAACAACAAACAGATGTTACTTCCTCTCCAAGCAACACAAACAGATGTTACTTCCTCTCAAGCAACACAAACAGATGTTACTTCCTCTCAAGCAACACAACCAGATGTTACTTCCTCTCAAGCAACACAAACAGATGTTACTTCCTCTCAAGCAACACAAAACAGAGTGTTACTTCCTCTCAAGCAACACAAACAGATGTTACTTCCTCTCAAGCACACAACAGATGTTACTTCCTCTCAAGCAACACAAACAGATGTTACTTCCTCTCAAGCAACACAAACAGATGTTTACTTCCTCTCAAGCACAAACAGATGTTACTTCCTCTCAAGCAACACAAACAGATGTTACTTCCTCTCAAGCAACACAAACAGATGTTACTTCCTCTCAAGCAACACAAACAGAGTTTACTTCCTCTCAAGCAACACAAACAGATGTTACTTCCTCTCAAGCAACACAAACAGATGTACTTCCTCTCAAGCAACACAAACAGATGTTACTTCCTCTCAAGCAACACAAACAGATGTTACTTCTCTCAAGCAACACAAACAGATGTTACTTCCTCTCAAGCAACACACACACAGATGTTACTTCCTCTCAAGCAACACAAACAGATGTTACTTCCTCTCAAGCAACACAAAACAGATGTTACTTCCTCTCAAGCAACACAAACAGATGTTACTTCCTCTCAAGCAACACAAACAGATGTTACTTCCTCTCAGCAACACAAACAGATGTTACTTCCTCTCAAGCAACACAAACAGATGTTACTTCCTCTCAAGCAACACAAACAGATGTACTTCCTCTCAAGCAACACAAACAGATGTTACTTCCTCTCAAGCAACACAAACAGATGTTACTTCCTCTCAAGCAACACAAACAGATGTTACTTCCTCTCAAGCAACACAAACAGATGTTACTTCCTCTCAAGCAACACACAAACAGATGTTACTTCCTCTTCAAGCAACACAAACAGATGTTACTTCCTCTCAAGCAACACAAACAGATGTTACTTCCTCTCAAGCAACACAAACAGATGTTACTTCCTCTCAAGCAACACAAACAGATGTTACTTCCTCTCAAGCAACACAAACAGATGTTACTTCATCTCAAGCAACACAAACAGATGTTACTTCCTCTCAAGCAACACAAACAGATGTTACTTCCTCTCAAGCAACACAAACAGATGTTACTTCCTCTCAAGCAACACAAACAGATGTTACTTCCTCTCAAGCAACACAAACAGATGTTACTTCCTCTCAAGCAACACAACAGATGTTACTTCATCTCAAGCAACACAAACAGATGTTACTTCATCTCAAGCAACACAAACAGATGTTACTTCCTCTCAAGCAACACAAACAGATGTTACTTCCTCTCAAGCAACACAAACAGATGTTACTTCATCTCAAGCAACACAAACAGATGTTACTTCCTCTCAAGCAACACAAACAGATGTTACTTCCTCTCAAGCAACAGATGGTTCATGTTTGCCTTTAGATCACATTAATGAATCAAAGTGCTACTTGTTGTTTTGCCCGCTGACCGGCTGCTCCTGTGGATCGTCTGATGCTCCATCTCATCCTCTTCTTCAAAGTCACTGTCAGACTCACATTCTGAAGCCTCTTCCTCTACATCATCATCATCATCATCATCATCATCATCATCAAATGGTCCTCTCTCTTTCCAGAATCATTTGAGCAGAGAATCTTTTGGCTTCTTGATCAGCTGTGACAAGAACCCAAACTGGCAACGCTTTATTTATGGTGTCTCGCCCCAAATGTGCAGCTGGGATAGAGTGGGAACAC